ACCGCGTCGGCCTCGTCAATGCCCTGAAGGTACGGTTACTCGTTGTTCGGCCCGGAGGCGCCCATTTCCCGTCCGATTCCGGCGCGCTTGGCCGTTTTGTGCTTGGGATGCGATGGTTGGTGGCGTGCTTTGGTTCCAGTTACCGCGGTTGCTCATTTCTCCGATCTGATTTGACTGCAGGACAAGCTGCAGAGCTTGGCGGGGCAGCATGCGGACGTGCTCGAGTCGCTCTCGCCCAATGTCAGGAGGCGTGTTGAGTTTCTGAGGGGCATTCAGGTTGAGATGGAATTCTTTCCCCTGCCTTAAATTTTACCATTCCTGTTGTGATTGGTGTACTGATGCTCCTGTGCGAGAGTACCTCATATGGAAGTGCTGATCTAAAATGAATATAGTGATTTTATTTGTATTAGGTACAAGTGATTTGTAAGGACTAGATTCATTTGTTCTGTTAAGCTAGCTAGTTCGTTTTTAGTCCAATAGTTATAGTTTCTGTACTCCCTTTTAGTGGATCACGGTTTCTTGTTGATTGGTTGTGTTGATCAGGCTAGTTAAGTTCTGATATGGAAACGAAACTATTCGGTTCCTTGCCATTTGCTTACAAAGATGGATGTTATTCTTTGGCAGAAGAAATACGCCGCTTTGTACATTAGGCCTACCTACTTATTTGTTTATGAGTGAGGCAAGGAATGTGAATGCTAAGTCATCAGGGCGGCAAACTCAGAATATAGCCAGGATGCGAATTATGAACTGAAAAAGTACTTGTGGAGTTCAATACTGAATAGAGACATTATGTCCTATTCCGCTGCCATGAGTATCTACTTTAAGAATATCGTGTTGCCTACAGCCTAGAATTAGCTTCATGGAACTTTTTGTTTGACCCAAACAACATTCTGAATTTGCCATTCAAATCTCAGTCCTGAGCTGAAGAACCTAATGCAATGTTTTCCCTCATGGTAAAGCGACCCAAGCTTTTGTATTTTACATGAGGCCTTCTAGTAGTTTGTTCTATGTTTGCAGGTTTGAAACTATAAATATTTGCTAGGTTAAGATGCAGGATCAAATGATTCAAACTATGTTAGCATTTTTTGCTGCTAGCATGTAAAACGACATTGGTTGGACCAACTTTAGACAAGCTGCATCATTTGTACTGTTCCCATTTCCTAGCGTTTTCGTGTGTGCAGTCAACCTTATTGCTTCCAGTTTATCCTGTATCATATCAGTTATCCATGGTGAATCTTTGAAAAGTTCCATTTCTATGCATATTTGTTGGATCAGAGTAGATCAATGTCTTGAGTAAATTTCCATTTCATTGTATGATATTTGGTTGCCCAGAGAACTAACATTTATCCGTGTAATACTTCAGAGCCAACATGATGAGATTGAGACGAAGTTTTTCGAGGAACGGGCTGCCCTTGAAGCCAAGTACCAGAAGCTGTATGAACCATTGTATGCTAAGGTACGCTTACTCCATGTTTATAACGTTTCAGGCGAATATATGAAAAGATATAACTTCTGTCCATTTCCTTATGTGCAAATTGTTCCATTGTTTTGCGTTGTTTCAGAGGTATGACATTGTAAATGGAGTTGTGGAGGTTGATGGTGTTGCTAAAGAACCTACCACTGAAAATGCTGCCGAGGGGGAAGATTCAGATGGTATGAAATCAAAGTTTGTACTTCCTCTTAGAGATCACCATTCTGATGTGCTGTTAACCTCTTTTTCAGCTAAAGGTGTCCCAGATTTTTGGCTCACTGCTTTGAAAACAAATGACGTGCTGACTGAGGAGGTAATTCATAGTGTGCTGTATTTTTAGGTGTTCTTTCAGCTCCCTTAATGTGTTTCTGACTGTATACTTGCTTAATTCTAGATCCAAGAGCGTGATGAGCCTGTTTTGAAGTATCTAAAGGATATCAAGTGGTCTAGAATTGATGACCCTAAGGGTTTCAAGCTTGAGTTTTTCTTTGATACAAACCCTTTCTTCAAGAACTCTGTCCTAACAAAATCCTATCATATGGTTGATGAGGATGACCCAATTTTGGAGAAAGCAATCGGGTTGGTTTTCTTTACCTACTAGTTGTCGTTTTCATGTATAGGGTTCTCATGTTCCATTATAAATGATAACTGTGTGTGCATCCATTATTAGCCTCACACATCATGTGTACTGCAGGACTGAAATTGAGTGGTATCCTGGGAAAAATGTGACACAGAAGATTCTAAAGAAGAAACCCAAGAAAGGTTCAAAGAACACCAAGCCTATTACTAAAACTGAAGAGTGTGAGAGCTTCTTCAACTTTTTCAGCCCCCCACAAGTACCTGAGGATGATGAGGACATTGATGAAGAAGCCGTATGTTCAAGATTTATTGTTTGATTCACTGAGAGCACACTATGCTTTGTTCACAATTCATACTAAACTTTTTCTTTCAATCTGTGATATAGGCTGATGAGCTTCAGGGTCAAATGGAGCATGATTATGACATTGGGTAAGTGCTGTTCATCATCTGCTGCGTTTTTTAAATGGGAACCAGAGATCATTGTCCTGCAGATAATTCCATTTCTGCACATTGAGCTGTACATTATGGTCTTAGCATAGTGCCCCTCTTGCTGATTCCGTGCTGCTGTTGGAATTTGACTTGTAGGTCTACCATAAGGGACAAGATCATCCCTCATGCTGTTTCTTGGTTTACGGGCGAGGCTGTGCAAGCTGAAGATTTTGATGATATGGAAGATGGTGACGAGGATGACGACGATGAGGATGATGATGATGATGAAGAAGATGATGAGGATGAGGACGATGATGAGGATGAGGATGAAGACGAGGAAGAGCTAAACAAGCCAACAAAGAAGGTAATCTTATCTTGCAGCCATAGAAGTGCCTATTTCTGCTCTCTGCAACATTGCTGTGTTCAACTGGCCTTGCTAACTCATTTCTTTTGTATTTGGCTGAGCAGGTGGCGGGCAAACCGAAGGTACAAACTCTCCACTAATCTCAAACACTTGCCTGGTTCCAGTTTAGCAATGATATCATCTTACAATGCATGGTAAATCGTCCGCCAGGGACCTTCAAAGGGTGGCGCACAAGGGAACGCCGAGCAACCGACTGAGTGCAAGCAGCAGTAGAATTTGGTGGATGCAGTTGCATTATTTTCCCATTGAACTGCCCAGGGGGAAGGAGCTTTTATGTTGGTTGTGTTGTGCACGGGTCAGACGTTTGGTGTGGATATTACCGTAGGCATGGTTTTGTATCTGGTGGCGAGGTGATTGTGCTGGTGTGGATGGATGGTTTGGGACGGTCATGTTAGCGTATTCTTATTATGGTCTCTAGCTATATGCAGTCGAAGGACACCCTAAGATTGTGTAATTATATTTGAACTCGTAATGGAGCCTTCTAGTATTATTTTTTGTGCCATGATCTCGTGTCCATTGTGATAATGTTCTACAGTATGCGGAATGTTCATCGATGCATTTGAGATAGCTCTGTCCGCGGGAAGCACTTTGATCGTTTCGGTTCATAATTCATTTCCTAAGGTGTATTTGATGGTGCTGAATTTACGTTCCCCCTTTTAGTGGTCTGCTAGATTCATACTCCTAAGGGCATACACAGTTCATATCACTTCATTTCCCTTGCAAATCTAAGCAGCAGTGTCGAATATCACTCTTATTGACATTTACGAAAAAGAAAATTACGAGGAAAAAAAAGAGTAAATCGCCTCTTCACTGCGAAGCATCACGTATTCTTATCTTAGGTAAAAAGAAAAGCATGACCTCTTGCCACGACATTCCTGGTGTACTTGCCACACCAATGTTCAATTTCACCGCAGACGTAAACTAACTTGGCTATTTCGCAAGCTGCGCAGTTTGCTTCTCGTCATCAGATCAGTACGATTCACCTGCATAACCACGTTCTTTTAGGCCACGACCTCCCCTGCGTGATCTCGGCCATCGATCGTGTCGTGTCAACATGGGCACTTCCATCAGCTCTACACTTTGAGCAGCAGTACGAGAGAGAGAGCACGCGAGCCATACGAGCACAAAGGTTTCTTTTTTTTTATTCGACGGGGGAACGAACACCCAGCACCAGGCCGGCCGCCGGATCTGCAGGCCCAAGTCGTGCTTCATGAGGCCCATACGGAGCGAACGCCGGCCCGCCGAAACCAGCCACCGCGCTCCCGTGCCTGCCGTTCCGCTCGCACGCGGCTGCCGCGCTCCGCTGGTTTTAGTCCCACCTCGCCCAGCGGAGGGGCGTCGGGTGGGAGAGCTGGCTATAAAGGCAGAGGGAGGTGCGCCGTGGTTCCATACTTACCTGGACGGGGTCGACGGGCGATCAACAAGGCCCGTGGCCTAAGCCAATGGCCCACATTGCACTTGGTGGGCGCGTTGACTTATCATCTCCCCAAGTGGGAGAGTGAACGTCGTAATTTGTGGTAGAGGGGGTACGCGTTCGCGCGGCCCCTGCCAATTCTTGAAAATTAAATTTTGGTCCTTGGCCTTGCCCCTGCTGCGTAGCGCAAGCACTGTTGTGTTACTCTGTGCTGGTCCCAGCCAATTCATTGAAATTAAATTATGGTCCTTGGCCTTTGCATAGCGCAGCCATTCTGGTTTTATTCTGTTGTGGTTCCTGGTGCAACGAGCAAGCCCATTTGTCTGAAATTAAGCGTTGGTTCTATCATTGTAGGACATTCCTTTGTTCATTCCAGTCCTTGGTCTATCGGTTGCACATACATGTCTTGATGATCAAAGTTCATAGGAAAATATAGATATACTGAACGTGATAACACAAGAAATTGAGATTTTATAATGCGTGGTAGGCTCAGTATGCTAAAGCTAGTCCAAAAGCATTGGCTTGGCGACCAGTGTCCGCCTCCTCTCGCGCATGGCCATGGCGACTAGTGTCTTTCTCCACTCGCAACCGGCACCACCCATGCTTGCGCCATTGCCCTACGTGTCTCCATGTTGTACTCAGCTACCGCTGTCTGACTTTGCTGCTTTCGTCGACTCGGCCCTCTAGACGGTATTGCTTCGGGAATGAACGCCTTCCCCGTGTCATCACGGGCTATCGAATCGCTCCACACGATGGCTACCGCCATTGCTCACCACTGGCTCCGTGTATGGACAACTACCCTATTCCTCATAAAAGTTTTTTTTCCTGTACATACCAGTTTGTTTACCGGCCAAATTAATTTGAACAAATTGCTTCATTCCTTGTACTGAGCCCACGGGCTCAACCGCTCTACATGCCAACCAAGTTTTTCTTTCTA